CCCCCCCCCTCTCTCTCTTTTCGCGCCTTCATTTTTGAACGCGCTGGCGTTCTACGCGTCGAATAACGCTCCGTCCCCCCTGTCTCTCCCTCCCTCCCTCCCTCCCTCCCCTCTCTGGCTCCCTGTCTCTCTTCCTCCTTTCCCTTTGGCGGCCGCAGGGGGGTGGCCCTTCCGCGAATCGTGAAATATTCAGCAGGGCCCAATTTCGTCAATAAGGCCATGTAGTGCCACCGCAAAAAAAAAAGGCAAGAAACAGAGCTGCGCACTGTTTGTCAGGCTTAAAAAGCGATAGGCCACAGGTAGGCAATAGTACGCAGCCGCGTCGAGTGGGTGGCCCACTCCGCAGTTTGCAGGGGTAGGCAGACAGACAGACACATGGACAGAGAAGTAGCCCTGGTTGGTCTATGCGGTGAAAGGTGGTCGGACAGCTCCCCGGATTGTTCGTCTTCCGGTGCCGATCTCGTAAACAGAACTCAAAAATTTTGGAGGCTGTATTCGAGATTGGCACCGGAAATCGAATAACCCGAGGAGCCTTGCGATGGCGCTGCCGGGCGCTGCTGGCTGGTCTGTGCGCTCAGCGCTCGGCGCTCCCCGCTGCTGGCGGGTGGGGAGCGCCCGGCAGCGCAGGCCAGCCGCTCAACACGCGCGCGTACCGGCCGAGGGGTTGCCTATCCACCCGGCGCCCTCGGGCCCGAGCAGCTGCCGGGAACAGCAGAAAGTGGAAGTTTGGGAGGCAGAGTACGCGGCGAAGTACGCGGCGAAGTAGTGTGTGTCGCGCATTCGCTGTCCAGGGGGGGGGGGGGCAAAGTGGGTAGTGGGCGCTGCGGCGCTGCACGTGGACGTCTTCCTCCCGACGTTACTACTTCTTCTCTACGACATGGGACGCGCAATGTGGCGTGGGCATGGCGTGGGCTTCCCCAAGGAGGTGACGCCTTGCCCGCCGGCCGCCCCCCGGCCCCGGAGGGAGTAGGTGGGCGAGCGGCGGCACAACTATAGTGGCGGCGCCGAGACGAGGCGCCGCTCTATTTTATGGCCCCCCCGGCCCTTATCTCGCTCAAAATGAAAAGAGAAGTTCCCACGCGACGCCCATTCTCCACCTGCTCCGTTTATTCGTTTTGAAAATGCCCGCCAGATGGAAGGTGTCGAGGAGGGCGCGATGAGCTGCTTCCATTCCTTTCTCGGGACGAGCGAAAAAGATATGAAGCGCGTTGGCAAGGGAGCTCAAAATTGCATTGTCCCGAGGAAAATAGGAGGGGAACGTAAACATGGCTCGCATCCGTCAGAAGCCCTTGCCACTCGATAGAGATTCATCGCTTTATTTTGAGCAGTTTCGAGAGATGCCTTTTTCTAGCGCTACGTTGTAGTATGAGCTTTCAGGGGGAAGCGGGGATAGAACTTTTATGCAGCAGCAGCAGCAGCAGCATCAGCAGCAGCCATTGCATCAGCGGCGCAGGAAATTCGCAATTCCCCATTTCAATCTGGCAGCGAACACAAACTACCCCTGTGCTGTCGGCCCCGCGCGTGCACAGGTGAAAAAGTCGGCAGAGGGGGGATGGGGGAATTGAGCGGACGGCCTCCACAGGCGGTTTGGTGGGGGAGGGAGGAGGGGTCGCAGGCTCGGTTGTCTCGCCTTTCATTCTTCATGTCTTCGTTACCCTTTAACTCCCACATCATCAAGAAATCTCACGCTGTGCAGGTCGGTGAGTCTGCGGATACTCTCTCTCTCTCTCCTTTCTCCTTTTGTCCGCTAAGGCGCGCGCCACCTTACCCGCACCCTCTGGCTCTGCTTCCAGTTTGTTTGGCTCTCGAATGGACGGAGGACAGAGTGAGAGCGAGCAGCAAGCAGCAAGAGAGAGAGGGAGAGAGACGGGGGGGGGGGGAGAGAGCGCTCGGTCACGCCACATCTCTGTCCTCAGTCGGGACGGCCAGAACGCTAGAGCTCCCCGAGCCCGACCCCTTTCCACCTTGTGTCCTTCTCCCGCTCCTTTGCTGCCCCCCCCCCCCTCCTCACTGTCTGATCCTACAAGTGGCTTGGACGTAATGTGTTGAGAGGGAGGGGTGAGGGGCGGGCTGCTCGCTGCCAGTCTCAGCAGCAGCAGCAGCAGCAGCAGCAGCAGCAGC